TTTTAATTTAAATTATTTTAAATTATAAAATAATAATTCTTACATCGAAATCTCTTTTGAGTACTTTTATTTTAATTTTATAATTTAATATAATTTAAATTATAATAAAAAATCATTTAAAAATTTTTATTTTATAATTTAAATTACAAATCCACACGGTTATTAGCTTGTTTTACTCGACAAGCATCATCTGGTTGTACTTTGGCTTACGTGGAATCAGTTTGCGTCGGTGGCAAGACCTGGTTGGTTGACGCCAACACAACTCTAAACGACACGGTTTAGAAAAGGCCTTCGGCTTCTTCCCTGTCAACACAAACAGAAATTTCACAGAATTTTGCAGAAGCAGACCGCCATGACAGCTCGGAAAAGAGCTTCAGCGACGGCGAAAACAACAGCGGACGCTGCAGACTCGAGGCCAGCTCAAGCAGACCATAAATCCTCGGAAAGCACCTTTTCTGATCCGTCCGCCAAAATGGGGAGTAATCGTGAAGCTTTCTCTTTTGTTGGAATAGGCTCAATAGGCCCAACACCCAAACAAGGCTATGCATAACGGGCCTAGGTTACCACTAATTAGTCCAAGCTGAAAGAGCATCAGTACAAGCATCCCCACGTGACCAGCGCCACGTGGGCCAAGGGGATGCTTACACGTGCAGATGTGTGTCAGTACCAAGGGGCTATAAATACCCCCCAACTACCTCCGATGAAGGTAATTAATCTCTGCGCTTCTCTCTCTGCAATTACTCCTTGAGAGCATCTCTCTCTAGAATACCGAGTATTGCTGATTTGAGCGTCGGAGTGTTTTCCCCGAGGAAATAACCTCGGGATTTTTAGGTGTAGAAGCAGCTAAGGATTTCAACAGTGTTGGATTGCGAAGCTGCCCAAACATTGGCGCCGTCTGTGGGAAAACAAACAAGGAGTCGTGTGGCTTAACTTGCTGGAAGTATGGTTCGTACCTTTACAGGAGGCCGCCCTCCAAGAAATGAAATGGACGAACAGGAGGACACTCATGTATCTGAACCTGGCTTGAATGACTTTAGGCCAATGCCAAGAAATCTTTTTGTAGGAGGAGCCGAACAGGATCACCTAAGTGAGACAGATGATGAAAGAACACCAACTGGGTATGCAACCCAGCCTGAACAGTTCCAAGTTCCAACAGGAACAAGACAAAGATCTGCTAGACCGTACAATTCACGGCATGAGTGACCTGAAAGGTCAACAGAACCTGCTCGGACAACCGAGCTCGAAGAGAGAACCAGAGTTCTCGAAATGGCAATGGGTAAAATACTTGCTCGTTTAATTCCTGATGACCCCTTGATTCCTTTGCTGAACAGAGATGCACAACTGGCTGCAGTTGTTGCAACTCGAAACTCCCCCGCTCTCAGCAACATAGTAGTGTCGACTAGGCCAAGGGGAAGCGGGAAGCTGAATATCGAGCCTAGCTCGTCCAAACATAGTGAAGAACTAATGAGAAAGAACGCAGACCTTGAAAGACAGCTACAGGACGTGCAAAAGTCTTTTGACGAGCTGAAAAGTCCCAGGTTGTATCAACAGACTCTGGATTTGGATAGTGCACCACTAAACTTATCCATTACGGCAGAGCCGTATTAAGAGGGATTCAAAATTCCCCACCTGGAGATATATGATGGCTCGGGTGACCCTGATGAACATCTGCACACCTATTAAGCCATCATGAGAATCTAAAACGCCAATGATGCCATGATGTGCAAAGTGTTCCCAGCAACACTCAAGTCAACAGCCAGGAGATGGTATCACAAACTCTCCAGACATTCAATAGATTCATTTTCCCAGCTCGCCAAGTTATTTTCTAACAAATTTGCGAGCCAAAGGGAGATCAAGCGCACAGTAACTGAGCTGATGCAAGTTAACCAGAAGAAAGGGGAGTCTTTGAGGGATTACATGCAGCAGTTCAACAAAGCCACCTTGGACATTGATAATGTCCCAGATACGATCTGCCTGTCCGCCCTGTTGCATGGGTTGAAGCGTGGCCGGTTCCTAGATAACCTGCTTGAAAACCCACCGAAGACATGAAACGAGGTGAATGACAGGTCGGCCAGCTTCATACTGTCAGAGGACTTTCAGTCGTCCAAGCGACGAGCTGATGATAAGCCAAGCAAAGGCCAGGAACAACAACCGAGAAGAGAAGAGAAGAAGAAGCAGAAGGTCAGTGAGCAATGGGGGAAACCAGCTGAGTTCCCGAAATATGCCAATTACATTCCTTTGACCTTACCCAGGTCTCAAATCCTGGCACAAATCCAGCACTGGGTTAGGAGACCTCCACCCCCATTGCATGATTCCCCGAGAGCAGACAAGAGCAAGCATTGTGACTACCACCGTGTATATGGTCACAATACAGAGGATTGCCAACACTTGAAGGACGAGTTGGAGTTTTTGGCTCGTAACGGGAAGTTAGAAGGGTATGTTCAGAGCCTTACACCCAGCAACCCACTCAAACCCATTTCGTACAGGCGTACGACCGACCTCAAGGGCAGAGGTACAAGCACGGCAAGACGCAGGATGTATATCAAGATAACCAGTATCCTTCTGAGCAGGGCAGAGCATACCGAGGACGTCCGTTCAACAGGAAAGGACAGGGACCGAGAACTACTGCCCCGAATCAAAAAGACAGGAAAGGGGTAGGTTATGCGGGGATACCCCCACCCTCTGGTACCATAAACATGATATCAGGTGGTGTTCACTCTGGGGGCCAAAGCGCCCGAGGTCGTAAGGCGTATGCACGCCAGGTGATGACAGTTAACAAAAACAGGCCTTTGAAACGCCTATTTGAAGAAGCAGAATGGGAAAATGCGCCCATCACATTCAGCCCGGCAGACTATAAGCGAGCAAAAGGAGAGCCCGACGTTATGATGCCGCATGCAGATCCTTTTGTGGCAACGGTTCATATAGGCAACCATAATGTCAACAAAGTCTTTGTTGATACGGGTAGCTCTCCGGATATCCTATATTGGAGTTGCTTTCAGAAAATGCAATTGAATCCAAACTCACTGCAGAAACACGAAGGGCCTATATATGGGTTCGACAATCAGCCCGTCCCAGTTGAAGGAATCATTACCCTACCCATCTATGTGGGCTCGGAGCCGCGGTTTAGGATGGCTTCCGTTACCTTCCTGGTCGTCAAGATGGAGTCAGCTTTCAACGCTATACTGGGAAGAGCTACCCTTTGCGAGCTGAAGGCTGTTATCTCACAACCTCATCTCTGCATGAAATTCCCAACTCCTCAGGGGGTAGGAGTGCTTAAAGGGAACCAGAAGATGGCAAGAACATGCTACCAAGATACCTTCAAGAAGGTTGAGCTCGCTGCTGCTCCTACAGGCTCTGAAAATCACAAACCAACCCAGCTCGCTCAGCAGACAATGAGCATTTTAGACATTGAACACCGACCTGAGGGTGTCGAGCAGAAAGCAGAACCAGTGGAGCCGGTAGAAACGGTCCCTCTGAACCTTGATGTGCCAGAAAGAACGGTTAAGATCGGCACCAAACTCACAGAGGAGGAACGGGCAGAGCTTCTGAAGTTTTTGAGGGAGAATCAAGACGTGTTTGCGTGGACTACAGATGAAATGCCGGGCATCCCCGCAGAGTTGACAGTCCACAAGCTAAGCACGGACCCCACCAAAAGGCCGGTGGTGCAAAAACGTCGCCTTTTTGGCCCCGAGAAACAAGCTGCCATTGACGAAGAGATACAAAAGCTGCTACAGGCAGGTTTCATCAGAAGGGTGGAGTACTTTGAGTGGGTATCTAACCCCGTGCTCGTCAAAAAGCCGAATGGCAAGTGGAGGATGTGTATTGATTTCACTAACTTAAATGACGCGTGTCCAAAAGACCCTCATCCCTTGCCAAATGTTGAGAAGCTAGTAGAGCGGGCAGCCGGACATGAGCGGATGAGTTTCCTAGATGCCAGCTCAGGTTATCACCAGGTTTAGTTGCTGTTGGACGATCAGGAGAAAACGGCTTTCTACGCTGGTGACGCGATTTACTGCTATGTGATGATGCCGTTTGGCCTGAAGAATGTTGGTGCAACATACCAGAAACTTGTACAAATCATCTTTAAGCTCCAAATCGGCAAAAACATAGAGGTATATGTGGATGACATGATAGTCACCAGTGTGCGAGTTGAAGACCATATAGGCGACCTGAGTGAGACCTTTCAAAACTTGCGCCGAGCACAAATGAAGCTGAATCCCTTGAAATGCACATTTGCTGTAGAGTCGGGAAAATTCCTGGGATACGTGGTATCCAAGAAAGGAATTGAAGTAAATCCAGAAAAGGTTGAGGCCGTTCAGCAAATGGAGCCACCAAGGACTGTCAAAGACGTGCAGCGTTTAACTGGCCGTGTTGCTGCGTTGCACAGGTTTATAGCCAGATCGGCAGAAAGATGCCTTCCATTCTTCAAGGCCCTGCGAGAGCCCAAGAACTTTCAATGGACCGATATGTGTCAGCGGGCCTTTGACGAGCTCAAACGATACCTGGCATCAGCACCCTTGTTGTCCAAGCCTATGGAAGGGGAGAGTTTGTATCTGTATTTAGGGGTTACAGCAGAGGCGATGAGCTCGGTCATACTCAGGGAAGAGAATAAGAATCAGAAGCTTATCTGTTATGTGAGCAAGGTTTTACAAGGCGCCAAGCAGAACTACCCACTAGCGGAAAAGGCTACTTTTGCCTTAGTTTACACAGCTCGTAAGTTGAGAGCTTACTTCCAATCGCATCAGATTGTTGTCTATACCGATTTGCCATTGAGAAAAATACTGCAGAAACCCGAACTCTCTGGTCGGCTTATTGGATGGAGCGTCGAGTTGAGTGAATATGACCTCACATTTCAGCCGCGCACAACCATAAAAGGCCAGGCCGTCGCAGACTTTCTGGTGGAGTGCATCTCGGCGACTAAAGAAGAAAAAGCACCCGAACAACCAGTCTGGGTTTTGTATGTTGATGGAGCCGCTAACGTTGAAGGAGCGGGTACAGGGGCTGTGCTGGTCGGCCCATATGGTTTTAAGTCCGAGCATGCGCTGAGGTTTAAGTTCCAAACAACCAATAATGCTGCAGAATACGAAGCACTCATTTATGGATTGAAGCTGGCATCCGAGCTGAAGGTACAGAACATCCAAGTCTTCAGCAACTCTCAGCTCGTGGTAGGCCAGGTAAAAGGCAGCTTCGAAATCAGGGATCCTCAGCTTGGTTGTTATACTTCCGTGGTCAACAAATTGAAGTCAAGATTTGCCTCCTTCCAGATCGACAAAATACAAAGAGCAGACAACCACCGAGTTGACGAGCTGTCAAAGTTGGCCTCCTCGTGGGACCTTAACCCTTAGAGGTCAACCATCGTCGAAATCCTGGACGCCCCGAGCTATACTGATCTCGCGGTCGAGTATCAACTGCTAAGCACGGATCCTTCTATACCGAGCTGGACAACCCCACTTATAAATTATCTGCAAAGTGGCGAGCTGCCTGAAGATCTATCCGCCGCGAAATTAATTAAACGAAGGGCAGCACATTTCACCTTGTTGGATAACCAGCTCTACAAATGGGCAGCCTCTACGCCCCTATTACGCTGCCTTACTCCTTACGAAGCTGAATACGCTGTGAGGGAAGTTCACGAAGGAGTATGTGGCACGCACATAGGTGGCAAGACTTTAGCTCGGAAACTCCTGTGGTTATTACTGGCCCACTATGGTCGAGGACGCGCAGAACTATGTCAAAAAATGTCCGACCTGCCAGTTCAATGCTGATGATATACACATGCCAGGTATCTGAGCTTATTCTAAAGATCATGCAAACTTCCTGTTTGCCTATAAACTTAGCATAAATATCTTCCTTGAAACAGGGGGATAACAAGGGGAAATGCTATCATCTCTCACGTCTCCCTGGCCCTTTGCTCAGTGGGGTGTCGACCTGCTCGGCCCCTTCACCAAAGGCAAAGGAGGCTGCACTTTCCTAATCATTGCAGTGGATTACTTCACTAAGTGGATAGAAGCTAAACCATTGTCCACGACAACAGAAAGGAAAATAGAAGAATTCTTGTTCAATTCAATATTGTGCAGGTATTCTTTGGTGACTTAGGTCATAAATAAACTGTATGCAAACGTAGTTTGTAGCTCAGCTTGGTTATCTGTGTGCAGGTTCGGCATACCTAAGCGGATTATCGTCGACAATGGGCCACAGTTCCGAGCAGCAGCACTGAGATCGTTTTGTAACGACTATGGCATTGAGCTCGCCTTGACATCGATGTATACTCCCCAATCTAACGGACAAGCCGAGTCCGCCAATATAATCGTCTTGTGAGACCTCAAGACACGTGTTTTAGCTACACATTCGAATTGGGTCGACGAGCTAAATAAAGTGCTCTGGTCTTGTCGTACTAAACCCAGCTCGGCCACGAGCGAAACTCCTTTCAGCCTGGCCTATGGAGCTGAGGCTGTCATCCCAGTAGAGGTTGGATTGCCATCTGATCGAGCAGGCTGGCATGACGATCTCAACAACGAGCAACTGTTGAGAGAAAACCTAGACTTCGTGGAAGAGGTCCGGGAGATGTCTAGAATAAGAAACATGGCGCATCAAAGTTGTGTTGCAAAATTTTATAATACGCGAGTTCGAGCTCATCAGTTTCAGGTTGGCGATCTGGTTCTACGCAAGGCTGGATTAACCAACACTTATTCATACATGGGTAAGCTCGCCCCTAATTGGGAGGGCCCATATATGGTTGTTCGAGTTAAGCGACCTGGCTCTTACTTGTTAGCGGATATACACGGGCGTCAGTTACCTTACCTTTGGAACGTACAGAATCTTAGAAAGTTTTACAGTTAACGTGTGTAATATTATTTTGCTTCAGGTGTTATCCAACAGTTGTAAACAAAGATATACAGAAAATGCAACAAAAGTTCAAAGGAAAATTCATTTTTGTATTTCATCAACGATGTTACATTAGAAGTACATATGATTTGAATCTATTGATCAAATACAAAAATGCCAAACCAAAAATACAAAAGAATGAAACAAAAACTCCTAAGACTAGTCATCCGTCAAATCGACTGGCATGGACGCGTCAGCTGCAGGCGGAGTGGGGTGAGCTGGAGGCGAGCGAGCAGCGGGCTCGGGAGCTGGCGCATTGACAGGAGAGCTAGCCGGTACTATGGCGGGCTTAGAGCTGGGTGGAGTGCTTAAGGGCTCCTGCTCGGCTACAGAAGCACCCTCCACCCATGCGTCAAATGAGGGCAGCCTTGCTGGATCCTCCCCGTCCTCCAGCACGGACGGCGACCAAACGGGCACGCCCTCCTCGTTTAAATCCCATCTCAGCCTCACAGTTGTGTCAGCAAGGGGAGCAAGGCTCTTACCCTGTTCGTCAAGCTCCTCATCGTCAAAGAACACCAGCTCGCGGATTGGAAAATCTGGGCGGTGGTGCAGTACCTTCCCACGAATCTCGTTGTAAATCTCCGTGGTTACGTTTGCAGACGCCACCGCCACGGCGTCTTGGAACGTGGATGAGCCAACCAGCCATTCCGCTCCTTGGGCTCGGGCAATACCAACAGAGCGCGCATGAGATGCCTTCAATTCGTTCAACGCCTCTTCGGTAGCGCTGAGGTTCTTGTCAACCTCAGCGACCTGGAACCTCAGGGAACCCAGCTCGATCTAAGCACGGTCCCTCTCGTCCTCAGCCCTCTTAGCCCGCTCTTCAACCCGAGCGGCCTCATCCTTTGCTGCTTGAATCCCGCTTTCTCTCTCGGCACGGGCTCGCTCTAGCTCCTCCTTAAGCTCATTGATCTTTTTGGTGAGCTCGTCCGCCTGGCTCTCTGCAGCCGCGGCTCGGTTCGCCATTTCAGAGCCTTGCAAACGATTCACATCGTCCACAAGGCTAGCCTTCTCCGTGGCCAGTTGTTTGCACTTGGAGTCGAGCTCGCGATTCTCTGTACGAGCTCCCTGCTCGCTCTCGTACAGCACTACTGCGTAGCTGAACGCCTGCAAAACAGTGGTTACTGTTAGTCTCTAAAAAGGAAAAAACAAAACATTCAAGCAGGTACGAGCAGATACTTACATCCATCAGTTTTATCATGGCGACCTGCCCGCCATGCTGTTGCACGAAAGCTTTTGCCCGCTTACTATCCATGGGGGGCACAAAGCTGTGCATGCCTTGCACCATGGCAGGCTGGCATTCCGCCCGCACATAGCTGAAGCCCTCAGGATAAGCAATCTTGGGGCCAGACATTGAGGCCGATGCAGTGGCAGGCTCTATGGCTGCCCGCGCAGTCGCTGACGGTGCGTTGGGTGAACGCACAATTGCAGGACGAGCTGCCTGCGCGGGCTGAGTCCCCCCGCTTGTTCTGCGCCGAGAGAGGGGGACCTCATCCTCTTCGCTCTCCGTCCCCTCACATGCACACCTACGTGCACTGGGAGCTGCCGCCTCGACCCTATGCTCAGCCCGCGGCCTAGATGCTGAGCTAGATCCTCGATGGGACGAGCTGCGTGATTGAGGCGCTGCAGGCGGCCCCTCGTCGAACCGCGTTTGCCTCTGCGAGGTGCTGCTCGCCCCGCGGCCTCGTGAGCTCTGGGCTCGCTGACGCTGGCGTTCTAGTATGCTGCTCATTTCACCTGCACAAACAAATACATAAGCCTCAGCTCGGCTAGAATCCATGATATATGATAAAAATATACCTTCACTGAACAAGTTTGTCACATCGACAAACCCGAACACGGCGAGATGCTCCGAGGTAACCAGGGCTTCTAGATCTATTAGACTCTCCCTCTACGCATACTTAAGCAACTGGTTCTTCAGATCGACATCCCGGGGCAACAGCTGAGGGTAGTTGATATGGGCATTTGGGTTGCGCCATTCCGATAGCCGGGCAACGAGGTCGTTGCTTATCCTTTCTGCTCGTGTGTCGCGAACGAAAATAAACTGTCTCTTCCACCTCGCCACCTTGTTCCTCACATTTCTGAAGAGCTGGCTCTTCTCCCTCCCAGAGAGATAGTACCACTTGGCAACTCTGGAATTCGGGCACAGCCGACACTGGAACAGCGACCTGAATACTATCGCTTTAGCTGGTACCTCCAATCTCGCGCACAACAGCATAAAGCCTATGATGAACCTTATGCTGTTGGGCGTTAGCTGCGTCAACGCCAGCTCGTAATCCACGAGCAGATCGAATATCAGTCCGGGCAGGGGAAACCGCAGGCCGGCGTCAAAGTGGTCCACGTACACTGGTATCCAGCCCGTTTGCGACACTGTGCACGCCCTTTCGTTCTGCCCGCCAGTCCGCAGCAGTATGGTTTTGGGGATGTGGTACGCCCTCACCATCTCCTCAAGCCTTTTATACCCACTTATGGAGGGCGCACAATCTGCTACTTCGTGATGAAGTGCAGCCTTGAACCTGAATCCAGCGGGCAGGTCCTTCGGTGCTTTTCGTAGGTTACTCAACCTGCCCAGGATTGTCACACCTTCCCATTCCCCAACCACCAGCCAATCTAAGACACTACTCACCACATCCCACATCCCTTCTTCACGACTGGGCGTCTCTTCGGTGGACAAACTGCTAGACGACGTAGTGGGATGGTCGCTGCTGTCATCCCTAGCGTTCGAACTGGCATTTCCCTCAGGCGCCATTGTTTTCTGCGAGTCCTGCAACTCAGGCGGCACTATCATCGTGATAGGCTCCATTGATAAAACCGCTTCCTCTTCTCCACCTTTGCCCTGGTTACCTCGTAGCTCTGATATTTCTCTCAACGAAACCATTTTACCTGAAAATGACGTAAAGCTGGTTCGATGTTCTGTTCTTCAAGATCGGAGTTGCCTCGCTTCAAAGAGTTTCAGAAGGTTTCAAGTAAACTCAAAAGTGAAAATGGAAAAAGAAACGGTTACGCAAAGGGAAATATGCCAGTCTTAATGGCTGTACGCGTGTCTCTGACGCGCCAATTCGCGTCCTACACGTGGCACATGCTTAACGTCCTTTCTGCATAACGTACGCCGACTTTAGCTGTCACGTCCCTCAAATGCTGAGCCAGCATTTATGACAGGGAAGATAGAGAGATACGGGGAGATCAACCATATCTCCTCAGAGATTTGGTGGATTTTCAAAATCCACAAGATTCAGATCGTAATGGCTGATATGTAGCCTATCCCATCACATCAGCTCGCCGTTGCGAGCACACTTACCAGGTCATCACAAATATGAGGGATACGGGGAGATCAACCGTATCTCCTCAGAGATTTGGTGGATTTTCAAAATCCACAAGATTCAGATCGTAACGGCTGATATGTAACCTATCCCGTCACATCAGCTCATCGTTGCGAGCACACTTACCAGGTCGTCACAAATATGACATATTTGCCAGGTCGGCTTACTCGTGACAATTCGTTTACAATTGTAGATCGTTTACTAAAATCTCCCAAGATTCAGCTCGTCACAGACCAAGGTGTACCTGAGATCGCCCTATTTAACAGCACTACCCGTGTTGCCTCCAAAATTTCAGCTCGCTGTCATGGCAAAAGAGCATCATCTGGCCGCACTCCGGAAATAATCAAGGGTCAGGTCACCACACGCCCTCCAGCAGTTACGTTAACGCGGACAAGCTCGCTGGAAATGGCGTTATGTACATGGCCGCTCCCTATGCGAGCTCAACTATGGTGAACCATTTCAGCTCGCCACCATAACAAGCCCACACTAGTTCGGCTAAGGATATCAGCTCGCCTCCACGCTTTCAGGTTCGCGAGCTCGCCCCTTTTCGTATTACCTTTCAGCTCGGCCATCGACAAGGTCGGCCGTAAGCTGTTAAAGCTGTCCGTCATAGTCACCAGCTAGAACGTTGACCCACGGTCACATCCATCCCAGTTCGTCAATCGAACACCAGGGGGGAGTAATGTTGGAATAGGCCCAACAGGCCCAACACCCAAACAGGGCTGTGCATAACGGGCCTAGGTTACCACCAATTAGTCCAAGCTGAAGGAGCATCAGTACAAGCATACCCACGTGACCAGCGCCACGTGGGCCAAGGGATGCTTACACATGCTGATGTGTGTCAGCACCAAGGGGCTATAAATACTCCCCAACTACCTCCGATGAAGGTAATTAATCTTTGCGCTTCTCTCTCTGCAATTACTCTTTGAGAGCATCTCTCTCTAGAATACCGAATATTGTTGACTTGAGCGTCGAAGTGTTTTCCTCGAGGAAATAACCTCGGGATTTTCAGGTGTAGAAGCAGTTAAGGATTTCAACAGTGTTGGATTGCGAAACTGCCCAAACATCTTTTATTCTCAATCCCATGCTTTTACCTCCTCTTCTACCATTACAACATCGAACAAGAGTTGAAGAGATCGATTCTTATCAATGCTGGAGTCAGTCTTGCCGGCATCTTTGTTACTCTCGAGATGATACCCGTGGCTTCTAGATATGTTCTGAGCCGCAGCTTGTTTGGGGTACGATATCAACAAGAAGGGTACCCCTCTAGGAACTGTTAAAGTGTGAGTCCAATTTCTTTTCATCCTTTGTTTCATATAGGTTTTGATTCATTTGGGGAACTGGGTGTATGTTGGTTTTGCAATTCCATTTCGATTAATAAACTGGGTATGGGTTTGGATTCCAATTCATGAAATGTGTTCTTGTTTAGGATTCTTTTTCTCATGAAATTCGTTGGCTTTTAAAGAGTCATTAGTTCTACTACGCTCATTAGTGCTAACTGTGCATTCCTTGGATTCTTAGTTGCCACCTGCATTGTCAATCAAATAAATGTCTCAGCTTTCTTATTTTCCTTTCTGTTTCTTAAATGTCAATATCATTATCACATGAATTAATAAAATTTCCCACCTGTTAAATTCTAAATTTTCATATGTATCTTTTCACCCGGATCCATCTTTTAATTGTTACAATTATATATTAACCATCTGTTTCTTTTTCTAGCTTTGCTTTTTAAGGTTGCTAGATGCTAAAATCTCTTCTCCACCCTTCATCAAAGTTCTTGAGATGCAGGGGGACTTGTTTCCATTCAAATTTTCTTTAGATTAAGTGAATCAAAGATGCATTTGATTTTAGATTTTCACCATGTAGTTAGACCACTGCATATGTTCTGATGGGCTTCATCTGCATAACTGATTAATTCCTGACAAACTCTCATATAAAAATCTACTTATTGATAATATTGAGTATTTGGCAGGCCTGAATCATTGGGAATTGTTGTATGTAGGCATCATCTTCTTGGTCTTGGCAATCGTGTTCCAGTATTTTAACTTCACAGCAGATTCAAACGTAAGTATGAAATGTATGTTATCGCAAAAAGTTCCCATCTTTTCGTTTTCTTTCTTTCTTATCCCTACTAAATCTTACACTGCTTTGAACTGGTTCAGTTCTAGGGTATCTACAAGAAAGTTTCAGAAAATTGAAAAACTACTGATGCCTGATACCAATTTTGAGGTGTGAATAATTATTAGCTTTAATGTACTTAGCTGAGCTCAAATAAAAGTTTTAGGATGATTCCCTTTCATATTTTGGCTTCTGAGAAGTTTTGCTTTTCTTATTACTTCCATTTCAATTTCATGTCACCCATTCTTTAGCTTTATGGTGGTTGTTTTGTTTCTTGGATATGGTTACCTCAAACTGGCCTATTTTTTGGTGGTTGTTCAATCAATTGACAATTGAGATGTTCACTATTCCTTTATGCAGTGGCTTGTCGAGTGCAATGCAGCATTGGCATCTATCTGCTTCATGACTTTGCTTGGATTTGTAGATGACGTCCTGGATGTTCCTTGGAGAGTGTGAGTATGCGTCATTTAAGGTTTTTGTATACGTGTTAAGATTCCTGTCATTTTTTTCCCCATATCAACTTTTGAGATAATATTTGCTTGCTGCTTACAACATTACCATGTGGAGCAGGAAACTACTACTGCCATCATTTGCCACTCTTCCCCTATTGATGGCATATGCTGGACATACAACCATCATTATTCCAAAGCCTCTAATTCCATATGTTGGGCTAGAGGTGTTGGATCTAGGTATGAACTAATGTTTATAATTAATTTAACATTAACAAAGAAACAATTAAATTTCGGAATTAATTATTAACTTGATTGGTAGTAAAGAGATGGGATTTCATCATTGATTGGGAAAATTACTGGTCTGGATATGGTTATGACTTGTGAATCCTTTCATCTTTCCCATTCAAGAGTTGGAGATCCGTCTAGTTTCTGCATCTTTAGTGATGATAGGAAGGGAATTTATCCACTTCTGTTATACAACTTCAGAAATTATTCTATACTTGTCTTTTTAAATGATCTTTTTAAATGATTCTGTTCCTTGATGTACTTTCTTCTTCCATTCATTTTGTCATTTCAAATGCTTGCCAGTTTCTTGTTTTCATTTGCCAGTCTCTATATATGTGAATGAGAATCTTCAGAAACTTCTAAGTTGACTTGTTTGTAAGATGGAATTCCTTTCCTCTCCAATTGGTTATTTGCTCTCTTCCAGGACGTAGTTGTAAGTTGCTCTTTTTTTGCTCTCTCATTTGGAGGGCTCAATTTCTGAGATCCATGACATTCAGTTACTGATCACAGCTAAGGTAAGTTGTACATAAGCAGGGTTTATGTCAAGGTGAAACAGATTATACGTGTTTCTGTAGACATCTTTCATATGCTAGATGCTGATCTTGATAATTTATTTCATAGTTTTCTATCTTCTTTTATTAGATTGTTGAGTTATTCTAAGGTTAATTTAATATTTTTGACAGGATGGATCTATAAATTATATATGGCACTTCTGGCAGTCTTCTGCACGAATTTCATTTCATGCTGGTTTGAATGGTCTTGAAGTTGGGCAAACAGTTGTCATTGCATTTGCTGTAAGCATAGAAACAGAACATTAAGAATCTTTTTCTTCCTTCTTTTTTTTTTTTTTTTTTTTTAATGAGATTAAGATATCTTTGTACTTTGCAGATTATGGTACATAATATCATGCAAATTGGAGCATTTTCAAACCCTGAGTGTCAACATGCCCATGCGTTCTCTATTTATCTTGTTCAACCCCTATTGGCCACCTCCTTGGCTTTGCTTTCTTACAACTGGTAATGACACATTATTTCAGTACTGAGTTGTTCTATAAATGCTACTCTCATTTGATAGTCTTCCTAACAAAATTTTGATTCTCTTGGCTGTAGGTATCCTTCCTCCGTCTTTGTTGGTGATACATACAGTGTCTTCGCTGGAATGACCATGGCTGTTATTGGGATTCTAGGACATTATAGTTGTATTCTTTGCACTTTTCAATATATATATATTTTCCCTTTCCACCCCAAAGCACCCTCTGGTAGAGAGAGATTGATTCACAAATCAAAAACTACTCAAGGTCATGCATGGATAACAATTGCATTTAAAATTTTATTTTGAAAGTACACTTAAGAGTAATGATTGGCAAGTTCACGTAGGGGTGTTCGCGGTGTGACAATGTTTTTAAACTCGAATTAAAAGTCAAACCGTTTTAACTTTTGGTTTATGATTTGATCGGTTTAATTAATTTGATTGATTTAATTGATTTGACCAATTTAACCAATTTAACCGATAAAACCATCAGGTTGATCAAACTATTATAAATATATTATTCTACAAAATATTTCACAAGGTGTTAGTTGGGTGCAGTGATAGGTGATTGATTTGACATTTAAAATATCACAAGTTTGAGCCTTTGTGAGAACAAACTTTAATATAATTGTGATCGTGAGAATAAACTTTAATATAATTGTGGTTTTAAAGATAAAATAAATATATTGTAAAAGAAAAAAATAGCAAATAAAGGTTGTGTCTCAAGTGGTAGAGTCTTTGTTTCATATCATGGAGAATGGGTGTTCAAATCCCAAGCACTCCTTGACACAAGGATTGCATTGTCCTAGTAGTAAAGAGTCGGAATTAAGGCTTTGGGGTTGTGAGTTCAAGTCCCGTTGTCCAGTCGAACGGTTTATCGGTTTGAGTGGTTTCAATAATTCTTATCAGTTTCAAACGGTTTACAATTCAAACGATTTAAAAGATACAACCAAACCGTTTATACCACTGAGTACCGGTTCAAATGGTCGAATCCGTCAATCCAGTCTGATTTTCAAAACATTGCGGTTTGGTTTGGTTCGGATTTTACTATTTTTTAAACCAATCCAATTTAATCGGTTAATAAAAATTTTAAACCAATCCAATCCATTATTATGTGATAACCAAATCAATCCAATTTAAATCAGATCGGTGTGGTTTAGCCAAATTGATTGGTTTTTAACATTATTAAATACATAAGATAATGTAAAAATATTTTAATATCAAATAAAAAGTATAATTATAAAATATATTAACATTCAAATCAGTAAAAACATAATAATAGGAAAAAATTATAAACAAATTCTTATATTCCTTTACATTTGTAAAAGTTGAAAAGTTTTGAAAATTCTTCTTCGTTACATCACTAGAGGCACCAAAAACAATAAAAAATAACGTCAAATTTCTAGCACAACGTAAATAATTTTTGAAGATTAAAATTAGTTTTTTTTTTTCCTAATGCACTAATAAGTTAATCTCATTTTTTAAATCCTGTTAAAAGTGAATAACATTTAACATGAATATTCCTAAAATTGATTTGAAACATTCACAATCAAAATTTAAAACTTCTAAACCAAATATCCAAAAATAGTAGAATATTAAGACTAATTTTATTATAGAGTTTAAAGACTTTTAGAATGATACTTATTTAAAATTTAATTAGAAGAATTATAAGATTGTTTTAAAAATAAATTAGAAATTTGGGATTCTAAAAGTAAAGGTGCAAACCAATTCTAAGATATTAGAGTTGCAGGTGAATTATAAATTTAGAATTAAGGTTAGAGTGCATAATTAAAATGGAGAAATAACTTAGAAAATATGGAGATGTTTTATTTTTATTTTTTTAATTAAGTTAATGGAGTTATAATCTTATAAAATAAGAAAAAGAAAATTTAAAATGCTACAAAAAATATGTTATATTATTTAATGGCTTAATTCAATTTTTAGTGTATTAACTATCACATTGATTTCATTTTAGTCTAGAAACTATGTTTTATTTCTAAGTGGTCTATTAACTTTCAGATTCATTTCAATTTCGTCTACTTGGTCAAAGATAACGGAAAATTTCCTATTCGGTTAGAGAACAGTTAGTCCTCTAACTATATTTTTTTTATCTTTTAGTCCTCAAATTTATATTTGTTATAAAAATAGTTTTTATATTTAAAATTATTATTTTTAAACTCTGATACCAAATTTTTATACTTAAAATTATTATTTCTAAATGGTCTATTAACTTTCAAGCTCTGATACCAAATTAAAGAAATAGAAAAACCCGTATAAAAATCTGATATCATAGCTTATAAATAATAATTTTAAGTAAAAAAGCTATTTTTATAACAAATATAAATTTAAAGACTAAAAGATCAAAAAAAATATAGTCAAGGACTAACTGTTCTCTAACAGAATAATAAGTTTTCCGTTATATTTGACCAAGTAAACGAAATTGAAATGAATCTGAAAGTTAATAGACCACTTAGAAATAAAACATAGTTTCTAGACTAAAATGAAATCAAGGTGATAGTTAATAGACTAAAAATTAAATTAAGCCATTATTTAATTAAATTATCTTCTAATCGGCTTTTATTTTGTAATCGGGCATTTCAGGCGGTTTGAAGGTAAAATCACGAACCAAACCAATTATATCAGTTTTAAAATTTTAGAATTCAAATCAATCCAATTTTATATCGGTTTGGATCGGTTTTTTATTGGATTAGATCAATTTAGACCGAATCAATCGGATTGGATCGGATATGAACACTTCTAATTCATATATCTTGGTTTTATTATGAAGAACACTATTCTCATTGGAAAGAAACAGACCTGGCTATCTGTGGTCTCATGATTAAGAATTGGCTCCCATTTTAATTCAGCTGAAAAAGGAAATGGTGCAATCCTATGATCCAACTGGTCAAAACAATTAAGCTACAGTCAAAACAAGCATAATTAGCTTGAAAAACCTGTTTTCTGTCCTAGTGTAAATTTGGGACCTGATGCGTATTCACCCATGGTCAGCCTCTTTCAGAATAGAATCAGGCATAAGTGAAGATCCTTGCCCAATTTCCTATTCT